CAGGGAATGTTTGATCCACAGGGATGAGGGGACAGAGCTCAGGGAATCTTTGATCCACAGGGATGAGGGGACAGAGCTCCGGGAATGTTTGATCCACAGGGATGAGGGGACAGAGCTCAGAGAATCTTTGATCCACAGGGATGAGGGGACAAAAATCAGGGAATGTTTGATCCACAGGGATGAGGGCACAGAGCTCAGGGAATGTTTGATCCACAGGGATGAGGGGACAGAGCTCAGGGAATGTTTGATCCACAGGGATGAGGGGACAGAGCTCAGGGAATGTTTGATCCACAGGGATGAGGGCACAGAGCTCAGGGAATGTTTGATCCACAGGGATGAGGGCACAGAGCTCAGGGAATGTTTGATCCCCAGGGATGAGGGGACAGAGCTCAGGGAATCTTTGATCCACAGGGATGAGGTTTTGCTCTCCACGGGATTTTCCTGGTTTTTTCCTGGCTGTCAGTGCTCGCCCAGAATTCCCCTTCTTCCCAGCTTGGATTCCCAGAATTCCAAAGCTTTACACATGAGGGATTCCTGCAAATCCAAGCATTGAGTCAAATCACTCATCTTGGGAGTCAAGTCCCTCATTTTGAGAGTCAATTCCCAGATTTTTGAGAGTCAATTCCCACATTTTGAGGGTCAATTCCCACATTTTGAGGGTCAAATTTTGAGAGTCAATTCCCTCATTTTCAGGGTTTCAAATTTTGGGAGTCAATTCCCGGGTTTTGAGAGTCAAATCTCGCATTTTGAGAGTCAGTTCCCACATTTTCAGGGTCAGACTTTGAGGGTCATTTCCCACATTTTGAGAGTCAAATTTTCTGGGTCAAATTCTTCTTTTCCAGGGTCAAATCCCACATTTTGGGAGTCTATTCCCACATTTTGAGAGTCAATTCCCACATTTTGGGAGTCAATTCCTTAATTTTGGGAGTCAATTCCCACATTTCGGGAGTCAAATCCCTCGTTTTCAGGGTCAAAATCCCTCCTTTGGAGAGTCAATTCCCACATTTTCAGAGTCAAATCCCTTGTTTTCAGTGTCTATTCCTTAATTTTCGGGAGTCAAATCCCTCATTTTCAGAGTCAATGCCCACATTTTGGGAGTCAATGCCCCCATTTTGAGAGTCAATTCCCACATTTTCAGAGTCAATTCCCACATTTTGGGAGTCAATTCCCACATTTTGGGAGTCAAATCCCTCATTTTCAGGGTCAAAATCCCTCCTTTGGAGAGTCAATTCCCACATTTTGGGAGTCAAATCCCTCGTTTTCAGTGTCTATTCCTTAATTTTCGGGAGTCAAATCCCTCATTTTAAGAGTCAATTCCCACATTTTCAGAGTCAATTCCCACATTTGGAGAGTCAATTCCCACATTTTGGCAGTCAAATCCCTCATTTTTGGGGTCAAATCCCTCCTTTGGAGAGTGAATTCCCACATTTGGAGAGTCAATTCCCACATTTTCAGGGTCAAATCCCCCCTTTGGAGAGTCAATTCCCACATTTTGGGAGTCAATTCCCACATTTTGAGAGTCAATTCCCACATTTTCAGAGTCAATTCCCACATTTTCCCAGTCAATTCCCACATTTTCCGAGTCAATTCCCACAACACCCTTCCCGGGGTTTCTGAGGCTCCCCATCCTCATTCTCTGGATGATCCTTGTTCTCTGGAGTGAGGGAATGAGGGGATTGGGTCACAAACTGAGTCTCCCGAGGCTTTTCCCGGGAATTACAGTCCCCTGACGGATCCTGAGGGAGATTTTCCTGCTCCAGCTCCTCAACAGCAACGTGGTGAACGACCTGATCCTGCTGGAGCCTGTGATGGACGCGCTGACGGGGAGACAGAAGGATTCCTGCCTCCTGGTCCGGATGCTGGCGCTGAGGGGGCTCGGGAATATCGCCTCTGGATCCCGGGAAAAGGTGGGAATGACTCCCCTGCTCTGAGTTTTGGAGGGAAACTGGGGGGACAGGACAAGGGGGAATGAATTCCTGCTGCCTGAGGGCAGGGTTAGGTGGGATTTTGGGAAGGATTCTTCCCCGGGAGAGGGTGGGGAGGGGCTGGGATGGAATTCCCAGAGGATGCTCGGGAATATCGCCTCTGGATCCCTGGAAAAGGTGGGGGGGACTCCCCTGCCCTGAGCTTTGGAGGGAAACTGGAGGAATGGGACAAGGGGGAATGACCTCCCATTGTCTGATGGGATTTTGGGAAGGATTCTTCCCCGGGAGAGGGTGGGGAGGGACTGGGATGGAATTCCCAGAGGATGCTCGGGAATATCA